CCTAAAGAGACAGGGCTGATCACAAGCACCGGCGTCCAGCAGAAGAGGAAGTCTATGTCTGCATGGCCCCCTTGATGTGCTTTTCTGCTCACTTCTGCTTTCACTCTAAAATTTCAGGGATGAAACCTGAATACGGACCTCATTTGAAGAGAAAGACATTCAGACTTTTCCAAAGAAATGTCTCCTATTACAAATAACATTGGTGTTACAAAAAGTCCGATGCTTTTGGCAGTAGAGAGTATAAAGCGAAAATGTTGAGCATGTTGGCTTTGGACCCGAGTCCTGACTCCACCACGTCCCAGGTATGAGGGCCTGAGAAATGTTCCTTGTAAAGCCTCCATTTCCTCCCACAGAAAGGTTGCTGTTAACTCTGGATTATTTCAACTAGTGGGTCTGTAGCAACACATAGTGGCTTCCTAATATTTTACTTTTGAACACTTCACAGTAGAAGAGATTGAAAGAGATTGAGAAATGCATTTTTAAAAGGTACTTTGAAGAAGAGTTCATCTTTTCTTACAACAGGAAAAGCATTTACATTCTTCCTAGCAGTGTAACTGTCCATTTACCGGGGACCTAGCAGTCTGATCCATTCTTCTCATGGTACCAGAGCTAAGTAAGCGTTCTGTTGTCACCAGCTGGAGGCATACCAATGCGCGTCTTCCTAATCAATGTAACACATGACCCATTAAACAGAGTCACTCAAAAGCTAAGCAAAGCTAACTAACTACCAAAGACTTACACATAAACCATATCCTAATGATGAGCCCAGGGAAATTGCACCACATCCTCAGATGTTCTTGGTCACTGGGTGTTTTTCAAAAATAACAAAACAAATACTGCTAAAATCATAATTGTTCCTCTTTCATTTTATATCATTTTATATTGAATAGACACAAAATAAATGTATGGGATATGGTGAAACTATCCAGTCAGGGAGGGGAACCTGTTTAAGTCCATCACCTAACTTTTCAAGTGACATGTAGTGTTTCATCTGGAATTTAAAATCAAATACAAGAAAGGCTAGAAATGTTCTGACCTGTTATTAACTTTGCATTTTTTAAAGATTAACTATGCTTTGCTGTTGGCAAAATGGTCATTAAAAATACAACACAGAGTTAAGCAGTAAAATTGGACCCCATAAAGTATGATAGTATTGTGGCTCTTAAAGGCCCCTGTGCAGATGTTCCTAATCAGACTGCAAACACAAATACACAACCAGTTTGTTCCAGCTACAGAATAATTTCATTAAAAGCATGCTTATAATTGAACAGAATAAATAATAGTTAAGGCCAGGGAGGTAGTGAGACTGCAGGGAAATATGATCCCAAGGAGTCTTTGCCAAGAAAACTGTTCCAAAGTTTTAAAGCTGGAAAGTTGAGAAATCGGTTCCTTCCCTGGCTACAGGTAGAAAATTATTACCTGAATTAGCGAAAACCTGGATGAACATACCGTTAGGGAAAACTCACACACACACACAGACACACACACACACACACACACACACACACACACACACACACACACATCAACCTAGAATGTCTTTTTCTGATTCTGCTCTGGGAAAGTCTGATCTCTTACCCTGTTCCATTTCTTATTGAGACACAAATGCTTCAGGAAATGCAGTGCAGAAGTAAACAGGCATAAGCAGCCTGCACAAGCTCTGGGGTCGGAGGATTCTCTGTGCAAATAGTGATCTTGGCAATAAGCCTCCTTTATGTACTAAAAGCTTTGTTTCCTGCTTATAGCAAGTCCCAAGGCTACAGCAGGTAAGTGTGTGGTGCTAATTAGGCTGAAAGGTGATTGTGTTCAAAACAGGAAATATTTTATAGCTTGATTTGATGAAGGTAGGAAATTATGTCAGCACAGTTAAGTTATAAGAGCTAATTTTCCCACAATTACTGATAGTTTACTTTGAATCAGTATGAACTTTAACATTGAAAAATATGTAATTCCATTCAAGGGTTGGTGCTTAACTGCTTAATTCCTAGCCAAAAAAAAAAAAAAAGCCAAGTAATTTTAAAAGCAATTAGGAAAATCTTACAGAAATATCTACTCTTCTTATTTTCCTAATGTTATTATCTATTTTATTAAAAGTCTGTTTCATTAACTAGATTGTCACGCCTGGATCATAATCCTCATCCAAGAAGCAAAGCAACATCCATTCTGAACAAAACTGTAAACTCAAATGCAACACTTACCTTGTGTCACCTGTTGAACTGCCAACATTACCCCAGACACAGTGTCTGGAAGCAGGTTTTCCCGCAGATTGTACTGTGGTGCCCATTCCAAAATAGGTAGGCGCCTTTTACACCACTGTTTAATGTCTTCACAGTGGGGGGTGTGCATCTTGCCCCACAGCACGCTTTTCTTTTTCCTCTTTGCTCCCGTCATTTTTCAGATCCCTCCTGTAGTAGTCAACTTCTTCAGACAAGGGAACAAAAAAATCGTTGTTGAACACCTCCTTTCAATGCCAGGCTCCAATTCGTCTGTGGTTTACAATGTCAAAGCTATCCAGAAAATAATAAGTGGGAGAGGGAGAGAGGAGAGAGAAGAGAGAGGGGGAGAGAGAGAGGGAGAGAGAGAGAGAGAGAGAGAGAGAGAGAGAGAGAGAGAGAGAGAGAGAGAGAAGAAGAAGAAGAAGAAGAAGAAGAAGAAGAAGAGGAGGAGAGGAGAGAGAGAGAGAGACAGAGAGACAGAGACAGACAGAAAGACGTTGCAGAAACATAATGGATGCAACTAAGCAGCATGCCTTACTATGCATAGTTCAGCTAATTATTCTAGATAAAAATGATAGACCCAAACCTTGAATTCTTATCTGAATAAGAAATGATTCCTGTTAATGTAATACTTTTCTGATCTTGGAAAAGTAATGGGTTCAGTGGTGAGATGGTTACAGCTCCCTTGCCAGTAATTCCCTTTATATTCACTGTCGTCTTATGTTTTTGGCTGCATTCCTAATGGTTAATGAGGTAGTTCTGGGCGTGTGTTGGAAGTGGGCTGGGCTATGCTAATGAACCAGGAAGCACGGGGCCAGCCCAGTGTCTCCCTACAAGCTATAGCTAAGTCATGACTGCCAGAGAGATCTGCTGTACAGAATATGCTCGGAGACGACTGTCATACTTCTTTGAGGTGTATATTTTCAACATGTCTAAAAATTGCCAAATCCACAAAAGCCAGAAACCTGATAGGAGACTATGTGAGTCCTTGTCTTTTTATTCTCTGGGACACGAGGTTTTCATTCATACAAAAAACATTCAGATAGCCACTGTGTCATCTGAGGGAGGACTAGCTAGTTCTTATAAACAAACTGAAATTTCATCTCCTGGGCTAAAGAAATAAGTACCACAATGAGCAAATATTTGTGGCTAGAGTTTATTTTTCTTCTTGTCTCTGCTCATTCACTTTTCACTGATTGTCTAAGTTTTTAATTAACATACTTATGTCACTGTAAGAAAAGTTTATTGAGGAATTTGGTATCATTAAAACTATTGTTTGAAGTGGCACTCGTGTCTGTGTGTGTGTGTGTGTGTGTGTGTGTGTGTGTAATACTATCTTTTGTTGACATAACTTTTAGTAGAGTGTTGTGCTCTTAAGAATGAGTGTTACATTTTATAACAGAATAGACTGTCAAAGATTTTATTGTATTATTGTTTCCCACAGCCTCCAAAAGAATAAGCTTACATTATGATCTGAACCATTGGAATTAACCCAAAAAGCCAATATTCTAAGTAAAAACTGTGAAGCCAAAAGGAAGGAAAGCATGCATGTAGCTTGTTGCAGTGCTTTCTAAGTCCATTTGTCCAGAAACTGGGCAGCAGACGCTGGAAGCTATTAGAACAGTAAGAATTTAGGTCCCTGGATTCTCTAAAGGGCTACTGCTATGCTTTCTCCCACTATGTAAATTAAGTGGAAGAGCTACTTTCTCACCTTCCAAAATATGATATCCCTTGCTTTGTAGCTACGTGGCAATACTTTTTTCATTTTCTATGAATCCTAAATGTATAAAGATATGTACGTCTTATATGAATGTATGGAATTTATTCCATATTTTTCCAGTATTCACATCACATTAAATGTCTAACACATCAATACATTTCTAGCTCAGGGTCAGATTAAAGGTTTATAGAGAAGGAGTCTTATCAGGACTGAGATGAAGCTCAGTGGGATAGTTTTTGCCTAGCATGCATGAGGCCATTGGTTCAGTCCCTAACAAACAAAAAGAAAGAGGAAAAGAGAGACGGAAGAATCTCATTCAGAGAGGATGCTGCAAATTGTAGCATTTTAAAGTTATCATTTGATATAAAAATAGCCTCGGAAGACAAATGCAACACAATAGGACATTTAGGTGGACTTTCTTTTGCAAGTGGGCATCTCTTCCTGTGTTGTATGTACTCTGCTCAGCATATACGCACAATGAAAATCAGAAACTATGTATGCACACATTGCATATAACTTTAATTAAGATAAACATGAAATTTTTAAAATAAATCTAGGCTATAAGTTCAAACCTATGCTGAAAAAAAATGAGAAGAAAAATCATTGAAAACTTCACTGAAGTCACCAATCAATAACTATTTTGTGATTTCCAATTTTTAAGTTTCTGTTAAATCCTAGACACAAATAATTCTCCTGGACCTTTTGTGAGTAAAAGTGAATCTACACAGAACTGCCTGTATCACATCAGTGCCAGCAATTATACTAAAACATTCCTGCTCTGAAGGGGATAGAGTTGTATCAGAGCTTAGTGCTTAGATAGCTCATCAGACAGTTCCTAAGAAAATAAATCCTTCCCAAAAATCTTCTCTAAAGTTTAAATCTAGAGCTCTGCTTCCATTCTTTCCAATCCTGTATGCAGACACATTACTTAAAGCCTGCCAAAACCTTAGTCTGGAGCATGCTGTCAGTCTTATTTATAATCAGCAATACCAAACAAAAAAAGCTTTATGAGGAATTTCTTCACACACATGAAATTCTCAAAGTGACTTAGCCAGTCCATAAAGTTCATTAAGACTAATAATATTTATTTGAAAGTTCCAGTGACTAAAGGTAGTTTAATGTTCAGTATTGTATACCACCCATATGGGCCATCTCTTCCCTGAATGTCCAGTGAACAGCTATAGACATCAAAAGATTCTCTGATTGTCTTCCACTTCAGATATGGACTGACAGGAAAGTCTTCCTCCTGAAACATCATTTTGATCACATCATTAACATGTTTAAATCTCTGTCATTTCCAACATTAAACTCAAACTTATTAAGAAAAATAGTGTAATTCTTCTATCCCTCACTGCCCCCAACTAGCTTACCGTAAACTCTAATTCAACAAGTATGTATTAAATAATCACTGTGGAGGAGGGGAAGGTAAGTATTATCTACTTTAGGACTTTAGGGGGCATTTAATGTAGGAAATAGGAAAAGGTATAATTAACGTCCTCCCAGCCAAAAAAAAAATGGATAAATAAATAATGAAGTCACGCAGGACAAGCTGTATGCTCAGGCACAGGGGGATTTCCCACTGGAGGTAAATTCCTCCCATCCCACCCAGACCTTGTGTTCCAACAAGTAACAGTTCACAGGCTACCACATACTGACATCCCTAGTCACATGATCCTCTTCTTCACATCTTCAAAATATTTACTAAAATCTCCATCTTCCATGAATACTTTCCTGGATCCCCAACATTCTGATCATGCTATATGGTTAGTACTCAGGTAGCCTTCACGTTCTGGTCATGCTATATGGTTAGTATTCAAATAGCCTTCACAGGTGTAGAGCTTGAGTCATTTTTATGATATATTTTTTCTTCCTTTACATCTTTCTCACATGCTTTTCTTCTGTCTCACTCATATTATAAATACCTTATGAATCGGGTTTATTCCCACAATTTTCTTATCTTTTCCTTTATGATTTAATAAAAGGAACTGTAGACATAGCATCCACTAGGCAATTATGAGTATGGTAGTTCTGCTGAAATGACTCAAGGATCACTTAGACTGTTGGAGCATAATTGCCACACCGTGCCCCAAAATGATAGGCATCGTCTGTGAAGAGAAAGCAAGTGGAGGGAGTAGGGAGAAAATCGGGAGAGCTGTTGTGTTTGCTTGCTCAGCTTCTCCTTGCCCTTTCAAATTCTAAGAAATGCCCTTGTTTTTAACATAAGCCCTTTTCTTTATATTATAGAATCTGCATTGTGGAGAGAGGAAAGCCTGAACAGAATGTGCAGAAGAGAGGGAGAAGGCCTAAGAGAGGTAGCCACCCTCCTGGCTTGAGACTTCACAGAGGTGTAGGGTTCACATTGAGAGCGTTCAAGGCGATTTTGAAGCATACGGGAACTGGGCCAGGCCTGAGTGAGGTCAGAGTCTTTGGGGAAATATTAAGCTGCTTATAAACTGGATCACATTTACTGGGTTTTGAGAGATGTAAGTAAAGACTGGCATATGACTTTTGATTTGGGCATGATACCTCACCTGTGCAGGGGCAGGGAATCTAAAGCACTGATATGTATCCAAGTTGTCCTGGAAACACAGACTCACAGACCATAGATAACATCAGTTTCTAGCTCATGTCTACTACATGAAGTTGATCTACAGCATTTCTAATAAAAAAAAAGACACTGCATAAGGCTCAATCTGCAGGAGAAAGGGGAAGTCGAGATGAAAGCTTTTCTCTGTTCACCAGATGCAGATATTGAGATGCATCCACAAAGAGGGGTCCACTATTCTTAAGTCAATTAAACATGGTACCATCTTCTAATCAAGGCGAATTTTTATATATATAGGCATAGCTCTTAATGCAAATTCAGTTTTAATTTTCTAATGACTGGAGTTAACAAGCTTAGAAAAACAGCCTCTTCCAATTTTTGGACCTGACTATTAGAACATTTTTTCCTAATTGGTAAGCCAAGACCCACTATTTAAGATTTCTACTCTTTGGTCTTCATCCTAACCTCTGTACTATATTACAGACTCTCAGCTTCCAGCCTAATTCATTCAGTGCTACAATTTCTGAAAACAGTTCTTTGTTTTTCCTAGGAGCTGTTCATTTCCTAAATACCATTCCACATGTAAGTCAACTGCAGTCCTGATTCCACAATGTTTTCTCATAACAAACCAACCAGTCCAATCGTGAGCTCACCAACAGTAAGCCAGGTGGACTCAATAATGTGCTTAACTTACTGACTTCGATTAACTCACTGCCTTTGATTAAGGAGAACTTACAAAGCTCTTCCTTAACCTCATTTTTTCTCGTTCTGTTGTTATTTTATACTATGTGATAATGTGTGCTGACAGTCCCAGTGCTGTAGTAGGGAAGACATAGAAGGATCACTGGGATTTTCTGACCGCTGGCCTACTTTCAAGCTCAGGAAGAGACCCCGACTAACCAGGACACCGGACATTCTCCTCCAGCGACTGCATGCAAAAAGGTCATGCAGAATGTCTACTAGTAACCATACTTTAGAATAAAATTTCTTTATAAAGAATTGGGAATGGCCAAATATAATGAGTTTTTTTAATTGTGTCTAAAATGAATATTAAGGATTCATATCAAATCAAGTATACTGTCTTCACCAGTCATGAAACTTTGGTACAGAAACAAAGAAGAGAGTGAAATTTGCCCCATGACTACATTGACTCTCTGGATATATAACCCGCATTTGGGATGAATTATTATGAATAATAATCATAAAGAAAAAAGAGATCATATTGAAACTTAATATTATTCAGGAGGGAAATCCCTAAAATATTCCATAAACCCAGTATTTTCGCATAAGAGTCAGTCCCCAGCATGAATTTCCCTCACATAGTAAATAGGGTTTGACTTACTTTTAAGGGAAATTCAAAATCAATATGAATCTTGCCTCATTAGCACATGAAGTTGAAATAGCACCTCATGGTCACCCCTAATTAAAAAGACTAAAACAGCACAGTAGTCATTTTTATACCTTTATGGAAGGTGATCATTTTGGTTTTAGTCAAAAAGGATAAGGTAGTGCTAAGACCCAGGACTTAAAATTCTTGTAAGAGTCTCCCTTCCAACATTAATAGTTTCATCCGGAGACAGGTATATTCACATTAAGGTGACTTACAAAGTTGACACTGACCAAATTGTTCTCATATACACATCTAACACTAGGTCCAATGTCAAAAGCAAAGCTGAAGATGGACCTAGTAGTATAGGCTTCTAATCACAGTTATTGAGAGGCTGAAACAGGAGGATTACTACAAGTTCATACCTAACCTGGACAACTTAGTGAGACAGACCCTCTTTGAAAACAGGAAAGTGAAAAGAGACCCAAGGATACAGATCAGTAGTAGACTTTTTGATTAGTATGTATGAAGCCCTAGATTGAATCCCCAGTATTGTAATCAATCAATCAATCAAAATGAAATGTAAAGCTAACGTTACTATTATGACTTTAAAACTTTATGGCTTTGTACTGTTTGGGTGAAGATAAATGGAAAAGCACAGAGGGCTGGCGCTTGGATAAGAACTTGAAAACTATTTACTTTTACCAATATTTTTCTTCATTTTCCAATTAAATCATCAAATTACCATTATGAAATAGGTTTTTGAAATTACAGAGAAGTGTTGAATAAGCAAATCTGTTCTATACCCATATTGCTAGTTTCAACTTCTGTGCTAATACCCTGATTTCTTCTATGAAATGTTTTACTTTGCATAGTTTAGGCATCATGGTCCCCAATGTGTGTCTCTAGGACTATATATGAACATCAGCAAGCCTCCTTCTTACAGATGCTCCATAGTACACATGCTACACATGCTTCTCTATCAAGGAATGGACACTTTGGTTACTCTAAGATTTTCATTACTACAAATAACACTGAGGAAACATCTTGGTGTAAGTTTTAAACCCATATTTCTTATTACTTCCTTATAAGTAAAACGCTAGAGTCCCAGTGCCAAAGAACCATTCGTAATGATGCTATTTTATTGGCCACTATTTTTCCCATGATCCAAAAGGGTTTTTCTGTAACAAATTTTACACAAGCCCAGATCTACAATAAATCCATCTTTTGAGCTGTCTCGCTTTCTGGCTCTGTGTGTTGACTTAACATTTCATGATGTCTAGTTTCTAAACTAAGTGGTCATTTAGTAAATAGTTAAAGTACCGATGGTTGGACTTTCTATGAGACTTTAAAATCACAAAATATATATATTTTTTTCTTTTGAGATTGTTTTTACTTGATGATTTCTATTCTACAATTGACAACATAAATCAAACATGAGCTATAAGTAATGTCCAATTCCCAAAACAATCCTTAAAACACTAATCAGAACTTCTCAGCTCTCATACTTGTCTACAGAAGCCAAACTGGGTGACAGTGAGATAAAAGTAATATAAAAAGAGAACATGAATGATTATAGTAGTTATTTAACTATGGAGAGAGAGAGAGAGAGACAGAGACAGAGACAGAGACAGAGACAGAGGCTGGAAAAATGGTTTAGCAGTTAAGAGAATGTGAGAATGTACTGGTCTTTCATTCCCTAGCACACACATGAAGATTTTAAAATTGCCCATAACTCCACCTCTAGGGGATTCAATGCCCCTTTCTGACATCCACAGGCATCAATCACCATGCATGTGGTGCACATAATCTTATATGGGCACATACACATCTACATAAAATAAAATAAATACATACATAAATATAGCTTTAAAATATAGAAAAGTTCTCAAGCCATTTTAATTCAATAAAAACTCGGTACATTAAGAAACTTTTAGATCTTAAACAGAGAATTTCATCCAGTTCTAGAAACAGCAAATAGGTAAAGCATCATATTTTTATTTCCCTGATTAATTAGTGGCACAAGTGAGATTTACCCTAGAAATTTCAAAGTTTACATTGCATATGAATTGTAATATTCATTGCCATAGCCCATATATTACTGGTAGTAAAAATTCATCTGTTCAAGCAATAAATCAACCTACAAGGAATATTGCTATTTATTCATGTCAAAAGAAGCATACAGAAAAGAAACGTTTGGAGTGCCATGCTATGGAGCCAGACAACCAACTAGCACAGCTTTGGCAAGCAAAGCTGAAACTAAATGCCAACTTCTCAAGGTCTTTGAAAGGAACATTTAGATAAGTCGGTACCAAGGACAACGCTCGGCATATGGGAGAGGCCCTGATAAATTCTAATTGTTAGCTCTCACAAA